CCGTGGAATTTATAAGGGGGGAAAAGACTTAAGAAAAAAAATGTGAAAAAGAAAATGGATTAAAGTAATAAAAAAAAATAACAAAGACCAAACATCTAGATAATAGGAACTAACAAAAGGATGGACTAAACAAAAAAAGAAAACAAAAAAAATGATGTCATAGGGAATGAAAGGGAAAATATCATTTCCCTTTTTATCTCTTCTTGCTACCTCTCTCTCCGGTTTAGAGTGTGTTTAGGAATATTATAGATATTGTTTTTAAAAGTATTTTTTATTTGAAAATACTTCAAAATAATATTTTTATTTTTTATATCAACACATAAAAACGATTCAAAAATATCAAAAAAAAAAATCAAAATTACAGCCATACAAAACAAACACTACCTTTTTATTTCCTCTTTCATGAAAAAACAGAGCCCTCTGTCTCTGTTTCTCCTTGTCATAAATATTATCTCTATTTTTATCACTTAATTATAAATTCATTGACCTCACTAACATAAAAAACACGTAAAAGTCTTTACAAACCATTGTGAATGAAGCATACCATTACAACCCCTATCCTTGGCTGAAAGCAAGTAAAGTGACAACTAGTAAGAAAAGTTGGATGATCAAATGTTAGGATTTGGGCAAAAAAAAAAGAATTTTTTAAGTCTTTTGACTTGTAGAAAACCCTTTTCCATTTTTTATAAACTCTTGAAACTATAATTTTGCTTGGATTAATGTGTGAAGCAAAAACAAAATTCACATGAAAATTAAATGATTTGATATGCTTGTCATAACGCATTTTTGAGCCCCCGCAGAAAAATAAAAAAATCAAAAAAATATAAACAATGAAAAAAGGATGTCAGCATGCCAACAAAATGTAAAAATTCCTAGTAACCAGAATATTAGGTGGCGACTCCCATTTAAATTTTCCACTGATAAGAGATAAAAATTCTTTGTCTCTTCATATTTGCTAGAGATACACCACATTTCCATCTTTTCCTGGATGGTGAACAACTATCGCAACGCCGCATATGTGTGACAATGCTAAATAATGATTGGTAATGTGAGATCAAATCTTTAACCAATTAATCCTCATCAACTAACCTCAATATTTCTAATTTAAAAAAGGTTTGATCAAAATGAGATCATGACTTATTGATCTAAGCTAAACAAAGTTGTCAATATATTGTTCATAAATAAAAATCGTATCTCTTATTATTTTATTTTGAGTTTTATTATTTTTTTTTATAAAAATCCATGTTAGAATCACCCTTTATACTAGTTGCTAAGTTTTGAAAAATCATAAATTAAGTTGTTCAAAAAGAAATTAAATAGAGACAAGGTTTACGAAGCATACCTAACAAAGATTTGAAGAAAAAAAGAGGGGAGATTCAATAGATGAAAAAAATAAACATGTGAAAACAATAAAAATTAAAAAAAAAACAAAGGTTAATAACTAGAATGACAAAATCAAGATGACAAGCGTAATAAAATTTACATGAATGTCAAAATGCCTTGAAAAGAAAGAGATTTGCAACTAGAGTGACAAAGTCAAGATAGATCACCATGAAAATCAAAGTAACATTCAAAAATGAGATCAACAATTAGCATAACAAAGGGTGTATTTTGTATTATGGTAACTTTTATAATTGTAGTTTGAAAAAATTAATTTTATAAAAATCACTTTTAGTTGAGGTTCATTTTATAAATTAAGTGTTTAGTTAAAATTATGGTTAAAATTAAAGTTGAACAAAAAAATAGTTTTATGTGTTTGGTTGATATGCTTTTTACATTGATTTCTTAAAAGGACATATTAATATTGAAGATTTTCAATTTAAATATTATAGATTTAATTATTATTACATAATTAAATGAATAATCTCTTTAAAAGGTTTTTTTTTATTGTCCTATCAAACTATTTGCAATTCTATCACGTACAAAATCTATACATGAAGGCTTTTGCGATCCTTGACTATCTAGCAAGCAACAACATCTAGTAAAAAATCATCGGGAACAAAATTGGAATTACAATCATATTTTACAAAAGTCATATCATATTGCAATCTCCTTCTAATATAGTTATGTAGTGCCATTGATGTAACTACAATATAAACTTGCATTTTGTATACATAAACGAGCATGTTTTGTAAAATTCTTTACCTTTATTTTCATACTCCAAAAGAACATTCTATTACATTATATAATGATAAATGTGCACGATTAAATATTTTTTTTCTGATTTTTTGACTATCCATGACACCTAAAATCTTGTAAATGATATATCTCATATTTATATAAATCTAAATATCCATACTCATTAAGGTATCCAGCATCAACCAAATATTATTTACCTACAATTAAGAATAATATGTTAAGTTTTTCATTAAAAATCAATAACTAATTTTTTTTATTAAACTTATAGTAGTTGTTTAATTTATATCCTACCAATACCTTCTAATAGTCTAGGAAATTTTATACTGTTATTGTCAATAACCTTAAGAAAAATATAATTTATTTTATATGATTACAATGAATTTGGACTAAATTTTAAGAAAAAAATAATGAATGGTGGTAAAAAAAGAGAGCTTGCTAATAGTATTTAAAAAACTATGATAACCATAACTGACAAAATGTAAAATCAAGTGCTATTTAATGGAATAACATCCTAAATATAATTTCAACTATTTTTTATAATTAATTTTAATTAGAATTTAAGAAAAAATAATAATAAAGGGTCGTTTAAAATGAGTCTAGGTCTCAGCGAGCTAGCACAATTGACCTTCTAAAAAAAGGTTGCATGTGCATCGGCCTCTAAGTCAATATTGGACACTTGACTTTCTTTTTTATTTTTTTTAACAAGATGGACAACGTGTGTCCACCCTTAAAAACTAAAAAAAAAAAAAAAACAAAGCATGCAACTCGTCATTAGCAATAAAAATTTTAGGCATTTAAGGTAGCTAAAAGGTCAGCTACTAACTTATTTGCTTTAAAAAAATATTCCATTTTCAACCCTTTTCTCATTTAGAAACACCTAGGAAACATCATAAAAAATCTTGATCAACCCCTTTCTAACTTTAAGTCACCATTTAATTTATTAAAAAATACAAAAATAACCTGAATCAAGAAAATAAATTTTGGAGTTTTGATCTATTTGTTTTTGACAAGATGATTGATAAAAAAACATTTCAATGACACTTTTTTTGTTAAATAAGACTTGTTAACACCAAAATTGCCGGGTTTTTTTGTTGGAAAGTTGTCAACCAACTATTTTCTCTCTCCTCCCTCTTTTTCCCTCGACTTTTCTCTCTTTTCGCAAACTTAGGAATTGAACTATGAATAAAATAAAATTTTGAACTAAAACTTGAAATCCTAAAACTAAAAGGACTAGAAATTGAGTCAAGAAATAATATATAGACTAAAACATACTTTTATGTGGAAATTTGAGATAAGCCCATTGTTTTTATTTTTTTAGTTCTCAATTTGATCCCCTTTCTTCTAAACATCATTATGCTATAAATTCAAATTATATCTCATTTAATTATCCTCAAATCTAGATTTGGAAATTGGTCAAAAACTTTAATTCTAAGAAATATTTTATAAAAGAAAAACTATAAACTTACAAAACACAAAAAAATAGACATATAAGGATTCAATTGAAATAAAAAAAGAAAGAAAGAAAAGTTGGATGACAAAAACAAAATAAAAAATATATATAAAATTTCATTAACAAATACCTATACATGCTAAATTTTTCAATGTATACCATGCTAAAGTTATCATAGATTAAAACAATTAAATAATTATTTTTTCTTTAAAAGAAAAGCCATTAAGCATTTTATAAAAGATGGAACTATATGTTTTTATGGCTTAAAGGTGATTTTCAAATTGAATGAGGAAATGTCTTTTCACGTCAGCACAATAAAATAACTAAGGGTATTTTGTATTTTGGATTCTTAAAAAACAATAAAATATTTTGGACTAGTATCTAGGGGCTTCTGTGTCTTTTCCTCATGTTTATCTTCTTCTTTTTTTCCAATAAACAAGTTGATTGAAGAGTGTGTTGATAATTAAATAAATATAGATATTATTAAAAAAATGGTTTATATATGCATTACGTGCATCAATACATGGTTGAGGCTGCACCATTCAAACAGGGTAGTTTGATAACTAAATAGTTACTTCCAGAGCATTCAAATAATCTTGTGGACTCTTTTTCCAGATTGACGCCTACAACCTTTTTTCTCAATATTTTCTCCTCTTTCTCGATTTTCATATTTACTTCTGTAATTTTTCAAAGTAGTATTTAATTTTTTTCCTTTAAATTTTATTTATATTCTTTAATTACTATTTATTTTAATTAAAATAATTTATGAAATTAAAATTATTCTTTAAATTTTATTCATGTTCTTTGATTACTATTTATTTTAATTAAAATTATTTATAAAATTAAAATTATTTTTTAATTTTATCCTATGTTAATTTTTTCTATGACATTATTCTATTTTTATTTAATTTTTTATTAAATAAAATCATTAAAATATTTTAAAAATATTCAGAAAATTTATTTTTATAATATTGATAAATATTTAATTTTTTTATTAATTATTTTTTATTTTTCATTATTATTAATTTTTTTATAATCATATTATTAGTTTAACTAATTCATCGATTCTTAATTTTTTTTTATTTTTTTTAAAAATATTATTATCATTTAAATATTTTTTATATTAAAAAAATTTAATCTAAATTTGTTTTATAAATTTTAAGTATGGTTAATATTATAATGATAGTTATTTTTTAAAATATTTTTTATTTGAAAATATATTAAAATATTATGTTTAAAAATTTATTTTTATTAATAAAATAATTTAAAACATATTAAAAATTTAATTTATTTTTTTTTTCAAAATTTTATAAAATAGTTCCATCAGCTACTCTGAAACACTCGAGAATACTAGTTCTTTTAATTTAATAATAATAATAATTAATTTAATAACAAAAACCTCGTATATATTTTCGAGAAATCTATCTACCCAAAACCCATCTACTGTAATTTAAGAAGAAAATCTCTCAATCAAACCCTGGTGCTAGAGAGACTCGTCTCTCACTCGATCTCAACAAAACAAGCATACAGAAACAGAGAGAAAGCAAGAAAGCAAGCAGCAGCAGTGTCTGTCTATCTCAGTCGAGATTGGAGAAATAGAAGATGGATGCGATTAGGAAGCAGCTGGATGTGCTCATGGGAGCGAATCGAAACGGTGACGTAAGAGAGGTCAATCGCAAGTACTACGATCGTGATGTTTGTCGCTTGTACTTGGTTGGCCTTTGCCCTCACGAGCTCTTCCAACTAACGGTATTATTTTTATTATTCTTTACATCTATTTAATCCATATCTAATATTTCTTTATCGATTTCTAAAAACCCTGACATAATGTCTGCGTTTTTTTTTTGAATTTTAGAAAATGGATATGGGACCATGCCCGAAAGTCCATTCCTTGCAGCTGAGAAAAGAGTATGCTTCACATTTATTTGTATTTTATTTAGTTATTTACAAATGTTGAATTTATATAAGTGGAAGTTCTTATCACACTAGTTATGAAGAAGCGAGGGCGAAAGGTGTTGATAGCTATGATGCGGAGTTAGAGAATGTTATTGATAAGCTTATTGTCGAATGCGATAAGAAAATCAGTAGAGCACTTAAGCGTCTTGAAGATGAGGACGCCAAGGCAGCTATTGCTATTTCAGTTACTGAGGTTACCCAGGTGATGGGCAGCAGCATTACCACTCTTTTTATTTGTTTCTCTTTTATGTTATTTTGTTTTTTAAATGATTTGATTTTTTAAATTGCAGACTCCTGAGGTTATTGAGCTGTCGAAGCAGATTAAGGAGAAGCTGAAAGAAGCTGACAAATATGGTGAGATTTATGGGAGCTAGTTCTTTAAATTCTTGTATTTTAGGAATCCTTTGTTAATGATTCTATGAAATATGTTCGATTCTTGTCCTTCTGTTAATGTTAGAATACAGTAACATTTTCTAGGAAAACTTGGCATATTGGGTTTATATCAGAATGCAAATTATCTTTAAGGTTCCTGTTGTGAGCTAGTTTATGTGCCGAATTAACTTGCTAGAATGAAGTATAGTCCTTTGTAGACAATAATCGCTTCTCAGTATTTATCTTTAGTGAATTATATTTACTAGATATCATGAGAATATTGGAGTGTTTATTCATGTCCCCAATGTTGATGAAAAGTCTACCAATTAGCAATTATTTAGAACATTGTAGTTGTAGATATTGGAGTATGAAATAGTTTTAAGTTTGTTGAAGTTATTGGGATAGCTTGTTGAGTGTTATACAGTTGTCCTAACTGTTACCTTTTTGTTTGATTTAGAATGTAAGCTGTCTTTGTTATCACATGTATACAAACTAATGTGGATAGTGCGCGCATGGATTTTCCCTTTGTTATTTCTTGAAATATTAAGTGTATTTGGGTGTGAATTGGCTTGTGTTGGTTTTGTACTGACATAAAATCTTGCTATAAATCTGCAGATCTTGAAGGCACAACAGATTTTAAGATTCAAGCTTTGGAAGAAGTGGAAAAACTCAGAAGTGAAAGAGCAGAGAAGCAGGTATAGAGTATCTCCTTAGTTTGTTGAGGCCACTGTTATCTTCAGCATAGGCTTGTATGATTTTTTTCCCAAAAGAAAACATATTTCTGCAATCTTGAATCTCATTATGACTTCTATGGATGTGGCAATCTTGTGTCAGTCTGCGCTACTTTTGGAGGCCTTCAATAAAGACAGGGCTTCTTTACCTCAACCTATGCCAAATCCCCCACCAGCAGCACCCATGCTGCTACCTACTCCTGATCCTCGCACCCAGGAGATGATAAATGAGAAGCTGAAGAAAGCGGAGGATCTTGGTAAGACTCTAGTTGCTTGTACTTGTTTGTCTTTGAGGTTCCATTATATGTTTCAAATTAACGCAATATACTTATGTTCAATGGTTGTTTCCCATTGTGGTTGTGTTTTTCAAAGCTATAATAGTCATTTCTCCATGTTATCTTCCATACTTTCCTAAAGAACAAAAGGTCTAAATATAGAAAGATCCAAGAAGAAATAGTATTCAGTGACTAGCTCTTCTCATTTTATTTATTTTACATCCTCATGCATTTATAACTTGTTGGAAAAAATAGCAACACTTACTAGGCTCCTTGACACCCATTGTCAATATGATGCCAAACCATGTTTGTGCTTGTCAACAGATAAAGAGAACAATGCATTGGAAAAGAATACATCGATCAATTTCATTAATGTGCTACTGGGTTTGGTTGAGTTGGGCTTTGTTAAGTTTCATATTTTTGGAGATGTATAGTTGAATGGAGAATGTTAGCATAATGCTCTTTGGAGCCTCATTTGGTTGTATGAGACACTATGCTTGAAAATCTAGTGGAGGATTTATGTTTTTATGTTGCATGCAGGGTCTCCTGTGTGCAGTTTAGAGATTTGGGTGACTAAAATGTTTTATATTTTACCCTGCATTTTACCCTTTTATTTCCAGTATGTCTTGTGCAGTTCTCAAAATCTTAAACATTCTTCAGGTGAGCAAGGGATGGTAGATGAGGCTCAAAAGGCATTGGAAGAGGCTGAAGCACTTAAAAAGGTTCTTAATTTTTAAATTTTGGCTAATGTTGACCCTGGTGCTATACTCCTTTCTATATATCTTGATTTATTTTAGTTCTGTGGTGTATTTCTACCACTTAATACTTCTATTCTCTTCTTTTCAGCTTCCTGCCAGGCAGGAGCCTACTGTGGATTCCTCCAAGTATTCTGCTGCCGATGTGCGCATTGTGAGTATTTCTACTAGTTTTAATTTATCTGACTTCTCCCTCTTTTTGTTATTTTTCAATTCCGAAGGAAAAAAATCGAAAATGAAGATGACAAAGGTCACCAGTCTACAAATGAATCATGCCATTTTTTACTATCATAGTATTAAAAGAAAAGCTAGAGCTATGCATTTTGATACCTGATGCATCAAATAACAACCTGACTGCTGAGGCTTGTGTACTCTTCTCAAAAGCTTTTTCATGTAACGTGAAAATACTTACATAACCATCAATTCCAGTCAGGAACATGCATGTTCCAATGGGATCTTTGTAAGTAGTCAATGTCTTTCATCCTTTCAATAGAAATTTTACAATTATTCAGTTGAAATGTGCTTTACTTAAGCATGCAAAGGAAAAAAAATTATTTTGTTGTGGCAACGTCAGAGAAGTTGGTTATTAAGGTTGGTCCATGCTTAATAATTTGGGTTCTCTATGCTATCCACTAATTCACCAAATCTGACTCTTGTTTTTTGTCTTAGACTGATCAGAAGCTACGTGTTTGTGACATTTGTGGAGCTTTTCTGAGCGTGTATGATAGGTATAATTTTTATATTCTCTCTCCAAACAAGTGCAATCCTCTCCCTTTCTTTTTTTTATTTTCATGAGGGAAACAAATAGTATTTGGGTTTCAAGTAGTTCAGCTTTTGACCCAACTATATACCTCCTTGTTACCAGCAGGCTTTTGGGCCCAGTTTTACGGGGATAACTTTTGCAGCTAAAGAAAGTGCGTCATTTTCTGTTTTATATGTTTGTAGATCATGATATTGTTAGAATATCATGGGGCAACTTATTATGCGTGCACTTCCCTTTCATTGTTGACATCCTTTTGAAAATGTCTTTCTGCTCTTTTCAGTGACCGAAGACTTGCAGATCACTTTGGAGGGAAGCTTCATTTAGGCTATATGCAAATTCGTGAGAAACTCACAGAGCTTCAGGTATGGAAAATGAAAAAATTGCTTGCTTGGACTATTTGTCAATAGATCCATTTTCTTTCACAGCTTGTTTTTTCAGGTTAATTGTGCAAAAACTGGAAATCTGTGTGTTGAACAAACCAAAATCATCTCAATTGCTTATGGTCCCCAATTCTCTATTGATGAAACTCATATGTTCAAAATTCTGCTGCAGTTTACGCATTAAAAGCAATGGCTAGAATTGGCGTGCTGTGCTATGTGGGATAATCATTGTTGTTTTACCTCATCTTTGGGATATCTTTAAGTCGGTATTGTGAATATGTTGGCTCAGGTGCTGGTATAATATTTCAAATTATATTGTAGAGATTCTCAGTTCGTATTTGATCTGAGTTTTTCTGACCTCAAAGAAGAATAACCTGTTACTGTTTATTTTTCTTTCCTTTTCCTTTGCTAATCTGCTATGGCTGGCTGCTGAACTTGGAAAGGCAGCAACTCTTTGCAAAAGACACCTGGTGTATTGGTGTCAAATATGCAAATACATTGTGTCTAATCTGTATGTGTAGATTGGCATTATGTATGCTAAAAGATCATTAGATGTTGGATGTATCCTAGTATTTATCTTGTCAAAAGTTGAAAAATTTTGTTTCATGATTGCAAAACATCTGATTTTTGCTGACCTTTTTTGGAAGAGAATTATGTGGATCTTGATCAAAGTATTACAAAAAGTTCTGATTTGGTTTGTCAAAGAAAGCAGAATAGAAGATGATTTAATAAACCAGACTTCTTTTTTCTTCTTTTTCCACAATTTAGTTTGAGAAATATTAGTTGAGTCTATTTTGTCAAAGCTGTCTTCTTGAACTTGGGTTAAAAGATAATTAGATGTTGGATGTATCCTAGTATTTATCTTGTCAAAAGTTGAAAAATTTTGTTTCATGATTGCAAAACATCTGATTTTTGCTGACCTTTTTTGGAAGAGAATATGTGGATCTTGATCAAAGTATTACAAAAAGTTCTGATTTGGTTTGTCAAAGAAAGCAGAATAGAAGATGATTTAATAAACCAGACTTCTTTCTTCTTCTTTTTCCACAATTTAGTTTGAGAAATATTAACTTGGGTTAACAGTGATGGTGTACGGTATTCTTGTGATCTGGCTGTTGTAGTTGCAACTTACTGAAAAACTGAGAAAAAAAGGGGGAAAGAGGTAGGAAAAAGTAAAATAACCTTCACTTGCTGTTTATTTTTACTGAAGATTTTCATTGATGTGTGTTACCCTTGTACTTGCTGCATTTGTGCATCTATTTCAGTCTACATATTCCTTATCATTAACAAGTTTTCCTGTTTGGGCCTTTGGATGGTGTTGGACTGCTTGTTTGTTTTGGAGTGCTAAATTTATTGTGCAACAATGCTCAACTGTTCAAACATTTGCAGTTGGATATAGCTGTTCCACTCATTAAACCAGTGGCAGTTTTCATTTGGGCTTAATCATCTGTATATCAAGTGAAGTGATTTTTCATTTTATTAAAGAATGATTTTCAATTCTTCACTAATAATTTTCTAGGAAAAGAAGCACCGCAAGGGTGACTGGTTTGATGATCGAAGGTATTCTCATTTGAGCTATTTTGATAGATCAATTTTCTTATTACAATTTTCTTCTGTCTTTCCTTCCTTGACCTTCAAATTACTGATATTTCTATCTTGTAGATCAAAAGAACGGAGTAGAGACCGTGACAGAGAATCAAGCAGGGATCAAGATCGGGGAGATAGCCGTGACCGGGGGAGGGATTATGATCGAAGGAGCAGAGATTATGACAGGTATAATGACCGGGATCGTGGATATGATCGTGAACGTGAGCGCTCCCACAGTTATGATTCAAGAAGTCTTCACAGATCACGTTCTCGATCTAGGGAACATACTAGGGATTATGATCGCCATAGGTAGTTATTCTTCCCTGTATCTGACTGTCTATTTTTTGTTTCAGTTGTTTTTTAATCATGACTGCTCATCTCTTTTAACCTATTTTATTTTTTATTAGAGTTGGATAAATGTGTTTGTTCTTCTAAATCTAACAAAAGTCATTTTAGAGTTCAAGTAGTTATTAATTTTCTGAGAAGTTTTTGATATGCATCCACACGCGCCACTTTGAAAATAGAAATGATTCCTAGCATATTATGACTGGAAGATTTCCAAATGATTTCAATTAGTATATGTCTAAAGGGAGAAATTCTTAAGATTGTACCTCCCATATTGCTTGAGGGGGAAATAAATCCCTGTAATCATTTGAATTTGAAAATCTACTTGTAAGTGAGATCCAATCAATTCCTCATTTCCTTTTCTCCCTGGGCCTATTGATTCCTCCTCCGATTCTTTCTTCTCTTCGCCTCTCCAATTAACAGAGAATTTTCTGGGAGGGGAGTTGAGAAATGTCAATGCTCTGGACTTCCTGCTGCAAAATTTTATTTTTACAAAAATAGATTTCAACTGTTACTAATTCAAGTTACTAGGCTTTAGCTCTTATATCTATCTTCACTAAAGCTGTTTCCTTCGCATACAAACCAATCCACTCAGACAGTCCTGTGTTTACAAAATTAGATTTCAACTGTTAAGAATTTGATTGCTGTTACATTTGCCGTAGCACCCCAGACATAATGCTTCCCCTAGACTATTCAGTTAACATGTTAGCATATTTGGTCACTGCAATGTGGATTATTTGATTGTTTTTGGTTTTTTTGTTCGAACTGTTTATACTGCGAGCATGTTACTGATGGCTTCCTAATTCTCAATTTTTCAGGCACTATGACCGATATTAGGATCTTGTTGCTGAGCAGTTGGGTATGGAAATTTGTGTTTGTTTCCTAGGTCAGTAAACTTGTGGTTTTGAATCTCAAGTATGAGTTTCTGTCTTTCTGATACTTTCAGTGGAGTTTGACAGTTTTCTGCTAATGTCGTAGGCACCGGAGTTGAATTGTTTTCTAAGTTATTTATGTTTATAGTCATGCCTGTGCAACATGAATTTCAGAGCTGCGCGCCTTTTTTATTCTTCCCATATTATTATCCCTGCCTCCCCACGAGCTCACACAAGTGTCATGCGTGGCTCAGCCATTGCTAGGGTTTTATCTACAGAAATTTCCCTGCCCTTAATTTAGTTTAGATTCAGCTCTAATGGCTTTATGCTACCAGTTGTGTTGAGGATGCTGCTTTGACAAATTGTAATTCCTTTTCCTTGACAACAAATTCACAGAAGCTTTATTTTTGCGTTTGGGAAAGTTGGATTGGGTTGCCCAGCATGAAGCTGGTACCTGTTTACTTTCTATATTTGCTTATTAACGTGGTTTTTTTTTTTTTTTTTTTTTCCCACCAGAGTGAAAATGAGGACACATACATTCTAGATAAATGTTAGTAAAAAGTGTCTGTCCAGTGGCTGTGAGATGCAGCTGAATTCGATTTTGTTTTTCAAATTTGCCTGACATTTTGGATCTTCTGAGCATGTGCTCTCTCTTGTTTTGAAAAATCCCAAGATTGCTACACAAACATAGGTGCTTTTGGGTGCATCACTTTTTTTATTCTCTTTCTATTGGGGTTCAGAATCGAAGATGATTGTTTCTTTACTTTTTCTGAAAATTTGAAGCAAGAAATGTGGTTACTGGTAGATTTTGCTAGCACCTCGATGAACAGAAGTTAATCTTATTGAAATCTACAACTACATTCAATTTGTCATTGTTCAGCTTAAATTTCATTTTAGTAGTGGGTAAAGTGCCAATTCTTTTGCTTGCACATTATGATGTCTATTGAAATGTTTTTAAAAAACAGTAGTTACAAATTTAGCTATTTGCAAGCGGGTAAAAGGCACGTTCTATTGCTCATTTTAGATTCCACCGTTTACTTGTACAACCGCTAAGGATGTGGGCGTATGTCCAAGCTCTGTTATTGTTTGCAGTTGTCCTCTGCGTAATTTATGTCCAGCTAAATGGTTCATCCTTCCCGGTTCTCACAGTATTAGTCAGTGATGTCCAGGTCACTTTGGTTCTTTAGATTATGGACCCTCTGCGTGCTGTGCTGCCGAAGACTCGTTTTCCTTTCTTGTAGCCTGTAGTATGGATCTATACAATTAAGAAAACAACATGAGCAAGTTCTTGAAGCTGAGCGTGAAACTACTCTTGTTTACTGATTCAACCCTATATATCATCATCTCTTGATGATGACCTTTTTAACGATGTCGGACAGCTTTGTGCGTTTTTTCTGCTTATTATGTATTGGAGGGGTGTTTTCAAATGTGAAAGATGCTTTGCTGAGGACTTATATTTGATCCCCAATGCTTTTTCTACCAACGATAAAGACTTCTAATGGTTCATTCTAAACTGTTGAGATGAAATACATATGGAAAAATGTTGTGTTATTTAGTGAAAACTATTTAATGTATGCTTTTTCTCATTTGATTTAGATATTTGAGGTTGAAAATAAATTTAAATAGTAAAATTTGGAACATTAGAGCCCGAGTGACGTGCAGCAGGATCCATCGAGAACCAGGAGATGGTAGGGGAGCCCACGAATTCCGGGCCCTGCCTCACTATGGCTAATGCTAGGAGAATTTTTTTAAATAAAAAACTGAGAAAATAATATACCCTAGAAAATATTTAAAAAAAATATTACACAATATATATATAAATCTGAGGTGCAACCGTTAACAAATAACAATACCAGGAAAGGGTACAACCTGATTCATATATAATAATACCCTTTTTTATTTTGCACTCTCCTCCGTCGTATTTTTATTGCGCCTACTTCACCTCAAGGAGCACACACCCTCCCTCTCTGAAAATGGCTTCGATCTCCCTCCTGCGCCTATCTCCAATTCCCACACCAAAAACCCTATCAAGATCCCAGCCCTTTTCTTCCTTCAATCCTCCCTTAACTCCCTTTCTCAAATTCCCCCCTAAAACCCGTCTGTCACAACAATCCACCGTCACCCGCATGTCATACAATCCCACGCCTGCCACAGATCGGTTAGTCTCGGCCGTTTCTTACACCCTCCCTTTCTTTAACTCTCTCCAGTACGGACGGTTTCTCTTCACTAAATACCCTTCTCTGGCTCTGCTAGTTGACCCTCTAATCCCTCTCTTAAGCCTCTACAGATCAATCCCATATGCAAGTTTTGTGGCTTTTTTTGCTCTCTACTTGGGTGTGGTGAGAAACCCAAGTTTTAGCCAGTACGTGAGGTTCAATGCTATGCAAGCTGTGACGTTAGATGTTCTATTGGTGGTGCCTTTGCTTTTGACCCGGATCCTTAGTCCGGGCCGGGCCGGGTTAGGGTTTAAGTTGATGGTTTGGGGTCATAATGCTCTGTTTCTGTTTAGTTGCTTCTGTTTTGTTTATGGGTTGGCAAGTTCTGTTTTGGGTAAGACTCCTTATTTGCCCTTTATTGCTGAGGCTGCTGGTAGACAAGTATGAGTGGTAACTTCTGTTTTTTTTAAAAAGAAATTTCTTGAAAAAAAAAGGTGCAATTGGTTGAAGCCGTAGGTAAAAGGGTTTAGTACCAGTGGTTTGGTTGTTTTGGGGCTTGAACTTGTAACTGAATTGTAGAACTGAATGTTCTAATTTACTAGTAGTGGTTTCTTTCCAAGCGTGCTTTTTATTCTGACATTTGTTGGCCAAAGATGATGTCTGGTTATGTGAATGAGGAATTGTCTGCAAAGCATAATGATTTGTTATGAACAATAAGCTTACTCTCTCCGAGTGAATGGTTTTATTTTAACTGTGTTGATAATTAAATGTTGATTGGGATTTTGTTTTGTAAACTATTCCTGTCCATTCTTGTTTCTGTTGAAAATTCTGGGATTCTTCCCTCTTCCTACTGTGCACTATCGTTTAAGAGGGGTATCATCCCCATCTTCTAACGTATAATCGCCTTAGAATCATCCTCTTCTGAGTTGTTTTTTTGTTTGGATGACGGCATATGTTGAAACCACTTCACACCTTATTGGCGCAAGCTGGTTTGAAATTTGGATGTTGTTGTGTTCTTAGTCTTTTGCATGAAATCTCTCTCTCAAATTAAAGGGAAATATAGAAATTGAATCACCATTTTGTTTTAAAAAAAAATTAAAAATCCTAAAATATTCACTAGTTCTAGTATTTCAGGTTTTTGAATAAGAGGTTAGTAATAAAGATAGACATTGTTTTTACCATATTTTTTCCAAGGTTTCTGGTAAGTCAATGAACAGAGTCTTGCAATTCAATCATTTTTTTTTTAATATTTATGATTTTCGTTTTTCATTTTTATTAAGAAAACATTGTGCTAGGTTTATATCAGTTTTTAATACTATAGAAACTTGCTGACCTAGTTATTTAAACTAAGTTTAACCAAAACATTATTGATTTTATGAAAACTTTATTAAAACTTGTGTTTTTTTAAACATATTTTAATGTAAAAAATAACATGTGAGGTTCATGTTAATAAATATTTGTTGAAAGTTCATTGATATATTTTTTAGCATGTGTGATAATTTTTAAAACTAGAAGATTCATTTATCTAAATATTAAAAACAAGCTTAATCAAAACATTACTAAAACTTGTTAGTATATCTTAAACTTATTTTGAGGTTTAAAACAATGTATTAAATCTATAAGGGTCTCTAAAATTAAAAAATCTATTAACCTAATTATTTAAAAAATTTAAATAAAAAATATAAAAGAGAAAATCCTTAACACAAACCACAAAGAAAAAATAATATTTTACTAAGACTCGTATTATTCATCCTGATACGTGTTTTTGTATCAAAAGTCAGGCATAAAATGAAACAAAAGCAACTTAAAAGGACTAAAATGAAAGATTAGGCATAAATCAAAACATTTATTCCAAGAAAGGCATGGGCATATTGCTCGATAAAGGTTGTTGCTACTACAAAAGAAATGTTGTTATTTCTTAATTTAAAATCTCAAAAAGATATAATTTGAAATTTGTCCCTTTATAAATTTTTAAATATCATTCTTATTTTTTAAATTGTTTTAGCTTGATTTATTTAGAATTAAACTAAAACAAGATCTAGGCTATAGTGAGCTCTGGATAAATTCAAAATTTTCTATTTATGTTATGGTTTGAACTTCAAAACGATAGAAATAGGTTTTGGAATCTTAATAAAAAATTTAGATTAATATTTTAGCTTTCTGATTAGTACTTAAAAGTGCATTTTTATCATGGTTTTATATCATCATTTTGCACTTGAAGTATCAATAACTCCTTAACTAAAACATGTTTTATAATAATATATCTAATAACCTAAGATACCTTTAATTTGTGGTAAATATTCATTTTAAATGCAGGCCTATTAGATAAATGAAAGGATTGATTTATGAATTTAAGAACTGAAATTGAAAGGATAAAGAGATGGCCAAACATAGAAAAGAGATGTCGGTGCAATCCAAACCGGAACACTGTTCGGTAATTGGGTCATATCTGGAGCTACAGATCTCAGATTTAGGTCCAATTTATATGGATGGAAAGGTAAGACATAGGCCTACAACTTTCATATGGAGCCCAAGATCTAAAAAGGCCATTATCAAGTCCAAATTGTAGCAACAACAAAGAAGCCCGAATCTGTCTTCCAGCCCGAGCACTGTTCGGTATTTTGGCCATATCTGGAGTTCTAGAAGTCCAAATGAGCTGAATTTTTTACACAAGAAAGCTGAGACAATTGCCTACAACTTTCATGTTTGCAACTGGCTCCAATTTTGACGTTATCAATGACGTTTTGGGCAGACAAGAGAAGATAAGGATTGTCACCAAGTCAAAAGTTGGTCACCCACTTATCAATTAGTCATCAAATCAATAGTTCCCATTTTTGGCCTATAAAAGGAGGCATTTGCCATGCATTTAGGCATCTTGATTTCCAGATCAAGATCATGCTCTTCCTTTCTCTCTTTGTATTTTTTATGCTTTGTTTTCATTAATATTAAGTTTATGCCTTTCATTTCCTTTCCTTTACTTAGTTAACTTTTATGTTCTTATTTTGTTTATCTATTTTGCTTTCTTTCATTATGTCTAGCTAAGTTAATTATGTCAAGGTGAAAAGGTTACACTAATGGTGTAAGAATAAGTATAATGTAAACTTAATATGGACTTTAATGTTTGATACTAACATGTTTTATATTTGCTATCTTGTTCACTCTTTAATACTTTGCTTGTTAAATGACTAATCTTGATTTATGTTACATAACACTTGGTACAACAAATGTTTGGCACTTTCATAGCCCATAATGTATGGTATAACCGACACCTGAGCTATGAAAGGAACTTG